AGGAGGGGAGTGGAATAATAATAATAATAATAATAATAATAATTTTATTTATAACCTGCTCCTCTGCTCAGCAATTGGGGCGGCGTACAACAAATTAAAATGCAACAGATAAAAACAATTCTTACCTCCCACCTCATTACCCACCCACCCCTTAAAACAGAATTAAACCATCATGAAGTTAAAAAATAGCAGGTATTCTCTACATGGACTCTGCATTTGATGACAATCTAAGATAGTGGGAGGAAGCTACAGATACTCAAGTAATGCTTGCTGTTAAAATGGTATTAAGTTGCACTCTGGGCCCTCTTAGAGCTTGCTGGGAAGAAGATGGGGGCAAAAAATGGTTTCTAAAAATATGAAAATCGGCTGTTTCCAACACTGACCTGTTTCCATCATATTACTGCATTGTTAGTGAGTTGATAATTACATTGAAACAGATTATTTAATTTATATCCCACCTTTCTCAATGTGGGATCCAAGAGGACAAACAACATTTTAAAAGCACAATGCAATTAAAAAAATACAAAAATTAAAACACAAACTAAATTTCTATTTTAAAAATATAAGTTAAAAACAGAATTAAAAGACATAAAACTACTCTACATGCATACAAACACCCTCCCCCTTTATAGCTTTATCTGGCACATATATGAAAAACCAAAAGCTGCTTTAAATAGAAAGGTGTGTACCTGCAGGTGGAAAGAAAGCAGGGAGGAGGCTGAATGGACTGGACCATTGATGGGAAGCTTAGCAGATCTATCTTGAAATGCAACCTGAAATTAAATCCTATCTTACAAGCACACTCTCAACCTTCAGCCTGTTGAAATACAGCTTAGAGGCACCAATAAAAGTTTGTTACGTAGAATTTAGTGAGTGGTTAACAGTTCATTGACTGTATCTTGTGGCAAATTGAACAGTTTCACTGGAAGAGAGAGAGAGAGTTTTAATCCTTTAAAAAAAAATCACACAATATTGTGAAAATGATACCAGCATGTACTATGTAAATAAAGCAACATTAAACAAGAAAAATATGTTGATAGTTTGAGTTCCATTAAAGACAACAAAAGAATAGGGTAATGGGGTTAATGAGCTTTATTTTAACAGTTAAACATACATAATATTTACAATAGTGACTTGTGCTGAAATACATGTGAATTGTCATTCTGCTTGTTTCTTTGCCACTGCATTTGATTAGTCCATGATTCGTTTAAACCACATCATGTATCTTGTAGTCTTGGTGAATATAAGCGTTTCCCACTTGCTTGCTTCTGTGGCCCAGGGTTCTAAAACACCAGTCAGAAACCATGTGCCTTTATAGTCAATGGCACTAAAACTTCCTCCAGCCAGTAGTTCCCTTGCTCCCTTGTGACTGTATCCACAGAATTCTCTTGTTATTAGACTTCTGTTGAGGTTCTGCTTGCATTCGTTTTCATTGAGGTATGAAACAGACAGCTCCGTGAGTGGATCTGCTGACTGGTTTTCGGCCACTTTCCAACCACTGAGAGTGGCTGCCAGTTTTGAAATCAATGCATTCTCTGCGAAATCTCTCTCTGGTACACATATGGGTAAGTGGTAACTGTCGCAGTCAATGTGTCTTCTGAGTTCAAGTAATGCCAGGTTGTTTTCACCGGTGTCGTTGTCATAGCGGATGTGTATATTGGCCTGTTTCACATGTATTACTTGTCTAGCTCCTTGCAGCTTGTTCAGTCCTACACAAGTAATATTATTAGTTGTTTTAAAAAGTGATCATAAATCATCCAAACGCTTACAAAAACTATTTTATCAATAGCTTCAATTCTCATTAGGCCTTAATCATCTACTACTCAACTTGGATCTACATTGCTTGTTCGAAAACTCATGGGAACTCTCAGAACAAGCAGTGTAGCCAGGAATCTCCTTTTGGGTAGGGTAGATGAAACTGTAGATAGCGGATCAACGGGGAATCAAGTGCATGGATCTTCCCCTGCTTTTCTGGGACATAATAGGTTTTGTCCACAGAATGGACACCTTTACTGGAACAGATTCCCTTTGAAGCTCCCTGCATGTCCCCAAATCTGTGCCAGGTGGTCAGTCCATACTTGCAAGGGAGATGAATGGCAAGTCTCATTTTATGAATGGGAAGTCCATCCATCCACATGACATTAGATGTAGTTGATCAGTAGATCAGTAAGGGAGCAAATTGATCATCATACACACGTACATCTAGAATTCAACTGCAGTTCACAAGCTTTTTATTCTTAATGAGGCAAATTCTTGTTGAGTTGGCTTGGTCAAGCTGAAATGTCTGTGGAATTCTTTTAACTTTAGAACAGTTTGGGAGGAGTGGGTACCACAGTTTTCTGCTTAGACTGATTATATGAATGCAGTCGTATAGTGTAATTTTTGTTGTTGTTGTTGCTATTATTCTATATTATATTATTGATATCCTGCTTTCTCCCAAAATTGGTATTCAAAGCAGCTTACAATTTAAAAGAAGAATGCAATTAAGACCATACAAAAAGAAAGCATTAAAATCGAATTAAATTATTCATGCATTAAAAGAATTCACATTCAGTACAAGAATAAAATTCAATTTAAAAAGATTAAAAAGCTCTTGAAAACAGTTGTTAAAGCAATACAGTACTCCCTAGCCCATTCTTTAAAAACTTTGTTTTAAAAGCCTGTCTGAATAAAACTTGTCAATGGAAGGACAACAAGGAGGAGGCTATTCTGGCCTATCTGGGAAGGGAGTTCCAGAGTCAAAGGGTGAACACCAAGAAGACCCTCTAGAGTCCCCAATTTTGGGAGAAAGCAGGATATAACTATAATATACAACAACAACAACAACAACAACAACAACAACAACATTACACTATACAACTGCATTCATATAATCAGTCTAAGCAGAAAACTAACCAAGTTTGTGATGGTGGTGGGTCTGGGAGAAGGGCCTTTGCTGATGATCTCAGAGCCTGGACCGGCTCATGCAGAGAAATATGGTCTGCTAAACTGCAAACTGTGAACCTTCAGGGGGAGCATAACCCCATCTAACATGGGCTGAATCTATATTCCTTGATCTGCCTTGCAACTGACCAGGAACATTTCTGTCTTGTCTGGATTAACTTTCAATTTGTTTAATAATAATAATAATAATAATAATAATAATAATAATAATAATAATAATAATAATAATTTATTTCTTATATCCCGCCTTTTGCCTAAACAATCAAGGCGGCTTACAAATGTTAAATAAATACAATATTGAAATAAACATAATAAGATTAAGACAGCTCGCATTCTGCCTTCTCTCCCTCCAGATGATGGTGGATAGAGGGAGGGCCTTCTTCTTTTCAGGCTAGGCCCAATGGAGCCGGCCTGCCTACTCTCCCTCCAGATGATGGTGGTTTACCCTCATTCAATCCATTACTGAAAACAGACACTGGTTTGGAACCAGGACATCCTTGGATTGGGTGGAATGGAGTAGCAGAGTTGGGTGTTATCTGCATATCAACGGCATTGCACCCCAAAACTCCAGGCAACCTCTACCAGAAGTTTCATGTATATGTTAAATACGCCACAGGCCAATGACTAGGGAGTTCAACAGGAGTTCCCCAAGCACTACTTTCTGGGTTTGTCCCTCCAGGAAGGAACAGAGCCACTGTAAACCAGTACCAGCAAGTCCCATCCCAGTGAGGCAGCCCAGAAGGATATAATGGTGGATAATATTAAAAGCTGCCAAGAGATCCAGCAGAACTAACGGAGACACGCTCCCCCTGTCCAATTCCCTGTGTAGGTCAGCCACCAAGGGTCTCTGTTCCATAGCCAGACCTGACACTAGATTGAAATGGATCTAGGTAATCTATTTCATCTAGAAACTTCTGGAATTTGAAGGCCACCACACACTTCAATATCTTGCCCAAAAATGGTAGGCTGGACATTGGTCAATAATTATCCATTAGAGAGGGATTTGGGGATTACTTTTTCAACTTGTTGTAAGGACACACTGATCGCCCCCTTCATCCTCTGGCCTGTTTGATAAGCCAAGAAGGACAAGGGTCTAACTAACACACATGCGGTGGCTATCACCTCTCTGAGGATCCTATCTACGGTACATCTTCAGGCTGCACAAATTGAAAAGTATCCATTAACACTAGACAAACAGGTAACACTAGACAAAAAGGTACCAACACTAGACAAACAGGTACACACCCTGGACCTGTATCAACTGCTACATCCAAGCTGGAGTGGATCTGAACAACTTTATCTGCAAAGTGTGGTGCAAATTCTTCGGAGCAGGCTGTTGAGTGATCTGCATTTTCTGTTTGAGGACCAGTATGTAATAGACCTCTGACCACTTGAAACAACTCTGCTGCTCCTGGCAGATGTAATGTGGCAGCAAAAATAATTTATTTACTGCCTACATTGCCATGGAGTAGGCCTTCAAATAGGCTCTAGCCCAGGTTCAGTCAAACTCACTTTAAATCTTCTGCCAACATCACTCTAGTATCCATCTCACTTGCTCCATCATCATATTATCTACAGCAATTGCCTGAAATAAAATAGCTGCATTCTACTTCCTGCGAAAACACCCCTGTGAAATGAATGGGAATTGCACAAATGAACTGTGGATGCTCTTTTGCAAGTAAAGGAGACAGGATAAGAGTGGGCTTAGTAAGGTTGCTTACTATATGCAAGAATTTGAAGCTTTCAAAAGCATACAACGGAGAGAAAACATTTACTTGTCTTGGCTACTTACCAATCGCAACACTGACAGGAGAAAGTAGTGCACATTCAGCTGTAGTCAGAACAAAATTGGTTTTCAGTAGAACACCTCCACAGAACCATTGTCCTTCCGCATTTAAGAGCAAGACCTTGAAAGCAAATGACAGTTCACATAAGTTTTGCTTAATAAAGTATATTAAATACTAGACTAGTGATGGTGAACCTTTTAGAGACTGAGTCCTGGCAGGTTAACCTCAGAGGAGGGCCATTGCCATTCTCTGAGGCTGAGAGAGTGTGACTTGCCCAAGGATTCGAACCCTGGTCTCTAGAGTCCTAGTCCAGTGCTCAAACCACTACACCATGTTGATTGCCTTCAAATCTTATACGGTCCTAGAAGCTATTGTTGTTGTTGTGTGCCAGTGACTCCCAAACTCTGGGTGTTTGGACTTCATCTCCCAGAAGCCACAGCCAACTTGTCAGAATCCCACAGCTTGGGATTCTGGGAGTCGAAGGCCAGAGTTTGGGAACCACTGTTGTATGCCTTCAAATCGTTTCCAACTTATAGAGACCCTATCATGGGGTTTTCTTGGCAAGGTTTATTTAGAGGAGGTTTTGTCATTGCCTTCCTCTGGGGCAGAGAGTGTGTGACTTGCCCAAGGTCACCCAGTGGGTTTCCATGGCTGAGTCAGGATTCAAACCCTGGTCTTTATTATTATTATTATTATTATTATTATTATTATTATTATTATTATTATTATTATTTGTTTATTACTACCACAGCCAATACAAACAGGGCTTCTGCTCAATAGTTACGAAACATCTATTTCAAATACCTGCCAGGGGAATCCTCTGTGGTTCTTTTCAGTTGCACTCAGCTGTGTTGCTATGTAGTCTTCAAATTTACCACAGGCACACTTGTCTAACAATGACAAGAAAAACAAAAACAAAAGAACGTTCAGATACATTATTCTATAAAGCTGGGGCAAAACCTCTTTAGTGTGACCTCTGTAACTCCCCAAATGTCATGCATAAAGGCTTTCAGGAGCAGCAAAACACATTTTTCACCTTTTGGGGAGGGCACTGGTGAGGAATGGTGGTAGGAGATTGCAACCTAAAAAGGTACTGTGGGCCACATTTTGCTCACCTCTGGCCAGGATTTTACATGCTTCACCTGTGTAGTTCTGTATCCTCAGCCTCCCTCAGGATCTCTGAAGGATCTCTGTTGCTGCTTATTGATGGGGAGGGGAAAGTAATTCAGATGGCAAAGAAGCAACTGGTCCAGACTCAGAGGAGGAAAGAAATAAAAGTGCACTCACAGATGTCTC